CTGTTATAGTCAGAACATAATACTCTGAAAGGCTCATGCAAGGCATAGTTAGATCTACAATGATTTAAAATTAGGGGAATATAATTTCTAGTTAATCTACTTGGCACAGAAAAGTTTAGCCGACTTAACAAGTCGGGGCAGTCAATATCACCATGTATAAGGTTATAAATAAAGATAGTACCAAGCATCGTTCTACGGTTGGCTAGGGATGGTAAATTAATCAAAAGAAGTCTACTAGAATAAGAAGGTAAGATAAGATTTGCATCCCAGTTTAGGCGCCGTAAAGCAAAAAGAAGGAAGTTTTTTTGTACAGATTCAATACGACCAATATGTATTCCGTATTGTGGACTCCAGACGGGAGACCCATACTCCAGAATCGGACGGACTAGCGAAATAAATAAAGTTTTAGTCAAATAAGGATCATCGAATTCTTTTGACCACCTTTTAATAAATCCAAGCACTCCTCTGGCTTTATTAACCATGGACGAAATGTGATTAGAAAATTTTAGTTTAGGGTCCAAGAGAACGCCAAAAACGTTTACAAGAGATATTCTTTCCAAAGAGCCCCCCCCAAAATTTAAAATCGGTTAAAAAGGATGGGCCCAAAAAAAAAAAACCCCTCAACTTGGAGCCGTTTAAATTAAAAAAAAAATAAACACACAAAATTAAAAAAAAAAAAAAATAAAATAAAAAGACAAAAAAAAAAAAAATAAAATAAAAAAAACAAAAAAAAAAACAAAAAAAAAAAAAAAAAAAAAAAAAAAAAAAAAAAAAAAAAAAAAAAAAAAAAAAAAAAAAAAAAAAAAAAAAAAAAAAACCCACTCGGGGGGGGCCGGCGAGGGTAACACGGAGAATTTCAGAAATTGAATTTTTAAAAAAGGACCCTTTGGGACCTGCTATTTAAAAAAAAAAAAAATCCATTTAAGCAGATCAACTGGAAAACCTAAAAGGTCAAGTTTATGAATAAGAAGTAAGTGATTTACAGAGTCAAATGCTTTACTAAAGTCAGTGTAAATGACATCTGTTTGAAAACTACTATTGAAGCCTTTTATCACAAATGTAGTGAGCTCTAGAAGGTTTGTAATTGTGGATCTACGTTTTATAAATCCGTGTTGACACGGAGAAATAATTGATCTGCAAAAGTGCTGCAAATGAGGAGTAATAATTTTTTCAAAAAGCTTAGGAATAGCTGACAACTTAGAAATACCTCTGTAGTTACTGGCTTCTAACTTGTTACCTTTTTTGAAAAGAGGAATAACAAATGATTCCTTCCAAATATTTGGGAATTGGGACGTTTCTAGAGATAAGGTAAACAACTTGTGAAGAGGTTTGCACAGGGCCTTAGCGCAATACCTAAGCACGCACCCAGGAATACCATCGGGCCCTGGCGAATAAACAGGCTTAATACGAAGAAGATCCAAAAGAAGAGAGCTTTCTGTTAAAGTGGGACAGAATATGAGGTTTGACTTGGGCATGGTGTAAGGATAAGGCTGAGATGAATAATCTAAAGTAGAGTCGTTTGAAAAAATTGGGCAAATATATCGGCTATTGCCTGATCTGTGGTTCCCGTCATGTTTTCGAACGACAGCGAGGAAGGAAAAGAATTAGATTTACGCTTGGTGTTAACAAAATTATAAAACTGTTTCGGGTCCTGAGAGAACTGGACCTTACAACGGTTTAAGTAACTATTATAGCACTGAGCATTAAGCACGGTAAATCTTGACCGAGCACTTAGATATCTAGTAAAAACAGATTGAGAACCGGTATTTTTATATTTCCTAAAAAGTCTGGACTTTACATTTCTTAAGTGTGTCAACTCTTTGCTAAACCAAGGTGATTTATTGGAAGTTGACGGATAGTACCACGGAACACAGGAATTAAAAAATGAGTTTATTGCAGTATAAAAAACATTAACTGCATCGGACATATTATTGCATAAGTAAAGATCAGACCAATTAAAGCCAGAAATAAAATTATTTAGCCTCAGAAAGTCTGCCTTGCGAAAACAATGTATTCGTTTGGATTTTTATACCCGTTACTCGTAGAGTAAAAGGGTATATTGTATTCGTGCAAAAGTATGTAACAGCTAGAAGGAAGCGTTTCCGACCCTATAAAGTATATATATTCTTGATCAGGGTCACTAGCCGAGTCGATATAGCCATGTCCGTCTGTCCGTCTGTCCGTCTGTCTGTCCGTCCGTATGAACGCTGAGATCTCGGAAACTATAAAAGCTAGAAGATTGGCATTTTGCATGTAGATTTTAGGAGTTCCTACGCAGCGCAAGTTTGTTTCAAACTGGTGCCACGCCCCCTTTAACGCCCACAATCGCTGATATACGATTTTAAAAATTTAAATATTTCGGAAAAGTAAAAATGCAGTTTTATTGTGTTTATCAATACCTATCGAAATGTAGAAGAAATTTTTCAAATCGGACTATTCGTTAAAAAGTTATGCGTGATCAAAGTTTCTATCTCCATCTCCCTCGCACTCCCTTTACCTGAGTAACGGGTATCTGATAGTCGGGGCACCCGACTATAGCGTTCTCTCTTGTTCTGATTTTTCTTCTATAACTCTACCCGTATCAAATGAAAGTTCGATTGTTGGGTGATATGGATCTTCAGGTTGCGTGAGTGGTGCTACTCTGGACAGAAACACACCTTCAGGATTTGATACAAAACACAAATCAAGTAGGCGACCTATTGAATTTCGAACATGGTTTACTTGAGATAGAGATATGTCAAGCAGGCCATCAATAAAATCATGTTGTGCTATAGGTAGTAAGACATTCGATCCATCCTCAGTGGACCAAGTAACTCCAGGTATATTAAAATCACCTAGAACTATCAACTGATCCCTATCGGAAAGCTTATTTGCAACGGACTTAATAACGGATAGGTGATTTAAATAATCAGGAAGTTCAGACAACGGCGGAATATAAGAGCAAGTTATGTATATAAAGTTACCAGGAAGCGATAACTTTACACAAATAAATTCAATGGTATTGAATTCATCAAAAAATAACTCCTCAGACGGGAAGTTTGAATCAACTCCAATTAAGACTCCACCTCCCCGTCTAGAGGGACGGTCATACCTATATATTGTGTACTTACCTGGAAAAACTTCGGAGCTAAAGATCTCCGGCTTTAACCAGGTTTCTGTGAACACAATAATATGAGATGCAAAGGAAAGGCTATCAGAATACAATTTAGTGAGTTTGCTACGCAAACCTCTTGCATTCTGATAGGAAAGAAGGAGGTTAGAAGTTAGTTTTTTGAAATTGGTACACTGGTTTGGCCTCGACTAGGAAGTTTTACTCCTACGGGCCCCTTCTTCTTTATCTTAGCCTCGAACAACCATATTATCCGGCCAAAAGTCGCCTGAGCATATGGCTTCAAAAAGCTCGTTAGGGACAGTTATCTTGAAAGATGAAATGTCTCTAGCATAAGAAAACTTAAACTTTTCCACCTTTACACTATTAAAATCGGCTTTAGTTTTGTCTTGTATATAAGACAATACATCAGAAGATGTTTGATCAGGGGAAAGCCGAGAAACGAAAATTTGTTTCTTTAGTGGAACCACTAAAAGGGATTTTGGTGGAGCAGACATTGTTTCTGCAAAACCAACTTGAGCCGGTTGTCCGGACTCAGTAGTCCCTTGTGGTGGTGATACTACATTCTGAGAGATAGGTGGATCCACTAATTGTGAAACCACTACGGACAAATCGGAATTCTTAGAAGTCCCTGGTTGCATGCATTCTGTAACGGATTGTTCGGATACCGAATCTTTTTAGCTGCTGATCTTAGCAACATTTGAGGGTTTGCTGAAATCAGCTACTGATCCGCCGGAATGCTCTGTTGTTCTTTTGATTTCGGTTGCGGGGTGTACCCCTTTTGCTCCTTACCACCAGCGGCCTTTTTGCGCTTAGGGGACTCTTCTAATAGCTTACGACTATTAAACTGCGAGTCCAGCGCAGATAGGAGATCATCAGCTCGGCGAAAACTATCTCTAGCCACTCCGAAACAGCTAATCAGTCCCATCAGGCCGCCTTTAGTTTGGCGCATGAACGATTTCATCTCGTTCGCAACCTCGACACAAGCGTCACAACAAAACTGCAAATTGGGCCCCTTTGAAAGGTCATCACTTGTCCGGCCAGTAAAACCGGCGCACTTGGTGTGCACCATATTTTCACACAGCCAGCAAGTCATATTAGACTGGTCAGCCCTGATTACGAGGCTGCATTTTTTGCAGAAGCAGACTAAATTTTTATTATTCATTTTATTTATTTACCACTGTACCAAGAAAGCGAAATTGAAATTTATAAGCGAGCAGTTATAAGTACCGCAAGAGCGCAGAAACTGCACGCTTAGAACTTTCAAAAGCAAAGAGAGCAAGAGAGCGGGTGCGTAAATAAGTTAAAGTGCATGCACAAAAGAGAAACAGCGTGGATATAAATAGGATAGAAAACACAGATAAGAATTACGAAAAACTAAAACAATTTATTAGTATCAATACAAAGTGCACTCGCGAAGCGAACGGAGTTTAAATTTATGTTTAAATAGCCGAAAGAAAATTTAATGTTGTTTTTATAAAACCCACCGATGGGAATAAACGAAAACAAAATACAAAATTCGAAGCGCAGAAAAAAAAACACGACCGTTCACTTTGAAAGTCAAAGACGATATCCATTGGGAATCCATATTTATTTAATTCAATAGTGTTTTTCATAAAATCAATTTTTGCTGATGATTCTTTTAGAATTTTTCTTCCAATAAGAATGTCATAATGATTTGAAAAGTGGTTTATATAAAATGTTTGTTTAGATGAAAATAATTTTGGGATACTAAACTGGATATATTTATTCAAAATTACAGATTCACCTATAGTTTCAATTTTAGTAGAATTATTTTTAATTGGGTATTCAAAGAAGTTTTTGTTAATTAAATTTATGCTTGATCCTGTATCGATAAGACAGAGGCATAGTTTATTATCAATTTTGATTTTTATGGCTGTTGTGTTTCGTCCGAGGCTGTTGTCTGAAAATTTTCAAATGTGTCCATTGGTTCAGACTTGCGTTGTTGATCTGATTCCGAAACTCGGGGACGTTTTTGGGGAATATTGGTACTTTGAGTACTCTGGATAATAATTATTTCCTGAATTATTATAATTATTGTTGTTATCCCAACTTCTATTAGAGTCGAACTTATTCTGTCTCTGCTGATTGTTGTTATATTTGTTTTGATAATTATTATTTTGGAATCTACCCCCTTGGTTATTATCTGAATGATAGTTGGGTTTTGTATTTGAGAATGATTTTGATGTTTTAAAATCTTGAAATTCATAGTCTTCCTGAGAGTTTTGGGACATATACGAACGATTATTTATGGATTTTTCTTCAAACATTCCTACAGATGTGGCAGCTTGTTTTAATTTAAGAGGAGTTGAAATATCAAATTTGCTCAACGTAATAAAAGTTTTTACTGTTAATTTTTCACGAATCACTTCAGCTAATGTATCACTCAATGTCCTCGAAACTAGAACTGTGTTTGACGGATTATTATCTAAGCTAAGTTTACAACAAATTCTACTTGTCTGTTCTTCTAATTCTTCAACAAATTTACGTAAATTATTTTTATATTTAGTCTCACGTAATTCGGCTATCATTCGATGTGGAGGCGTTGCGCTGTTGAACTCGCCGATAAGTAGTCTTCTCAATTCCTTCCAGTCCTGTGGTACATTTCTCATCAAGAGTGATCGGGCTTGTCCAACTAAGAGGTTCCTGATGGCTGCTTGTATAATTTGATTTTGGCCTTCTGATGCTGTAGGATAATGGTAGACTAATTCATGGACTTCTTTTATGAAGAGAGCCAAATAGAGTGGGTCTCCATTAAATTTATTTATCTGCTTCAGTTGCAGAAGGAAATGGTTCATTGATACATCTGAAAGGGTTTGTGCAGCTTTTGATGCTGCGGCTACGGCTGCTGCTGCTGATGTTGATGGCAGATCCATATTTAATGTTTTTTTTTTTGTAGTTGTTGTATTTAGTCGAAATAATTTAGATTATTTTCACTGGTTTAGACACTAGGAATCCTCATTCGTGATTTAACTAATGTTGTTCTTTAAACATTTTTTTTTTTTTTTAAGTAAGTTCCTTTTGCGGATACAAATAATGTTTTATTTTCGCGAAGTAATTTTTTAATTCCTTTTTAGGTAGTCACTCGCGAGGATATTACTTGTATCCTACCGGCTGCGCCAATTTCGTTTTTCGGTTCGGAATATATTAAAAAAAAGCGATTTTTATTTTAATATATAGCGGAGTCTTTATTGGTAAAGTTCTTTCAAGTTAGATCCCCAATCTTAAACTGATTTTACAAAATGCATTATTCTTATAACTATGGCTTCTACCGGTGACAGCGCGCGAGCAGCGAAAGTGGGCTTTGATTAGATAATTTTGATTGGTCAAAACTGTGGCCTGATGGGTTGGTTTCTAGGCTGCAATCTTTTGTTTAATTAATTTGGATTGGCCAAAGCTTTTATGCTGACGAATGGGTTCTCAGGCTGGACCCTTTGTTTAAAGGTCTGAATATTGTTTATGTCTGCTGTCGTCGATAAAGGCGTGTGAAGTGTTTATAATTCGGATGCCGCCGATCGAAGGCGTGGGAAAGATTTATGTCTGAGGGGTTAAATGTTTATGTTGGATTGATTTGAATAACTGTAATAGTAGGCTCTGGACTTATGTTATTGACAATTGTTAAATGTTTATGTCGGATTGATTTGAATAACTGCAATAGTAGGCTCTGGGCTTATGTTATTGACCATTGGAATAATGGGTATCTCTGGATATACAGGTTGTATGTTGGGTTTTGTAGCTAGGGTATTTGCGTATACGTCTTTTACATACAATGTGTGTGTATGTTTCTATTCGAAAGTAGATAATGTGCTTAAATACAAATAAAATGATTTATTATACCCGTTTATCGATCAAATGTGGAATCTGAAAATAACACGTTACTTTGCTGTTTTTGTATTGGATGCCAATCTTTTACTGTGTGTACAAAGGTTTTCGTTTCATTCAAAACAAGAAATTTGAAAACAACAAATTCCAATTTACAAACAAGTATACATATTTGTGCGCAAATTAAAATTGCATTGATAACATTGTAACTGATAAAAAGTATACAAGCTCACGACTTTTACTTGGATCACTTTCATCCCTAAAGATTATAAAATGAAAGACCGATTTTTAAGGGGATACGGCCACAGCCCAAACAGTAAGAGCAAGAGCAGCCAAATTTTTTCACAGTATTTCATTGGGGGCGTGGGCTCCCACTAGGATCCGATATGTCCCCCCAGTGGCCCCAAACAGCTCCAACATCCATTATTCTGAGCAAAAAAAAGTTGATGTATTTAAGCTTGACTTCTAAAGTGGTTTGGAATTTTGATATTTGGTTTTTTCCGAATTTTAGGTTTTGAAAAGACCTAATTAGAAATCTAAAAGAAATTTCGATATCCCCCATAATTTGGGGGCTACATTTAAAATTAACTTTTCGATTTAAAAAATCTAAACCGCTGCTCCGACCAAGAGGATTTTTCGCTCAATAGTTATTCTATGGCCCAAATGCTTAAGTTTAATTTTTCAAGTTTTTAACATTTTTTTTAAGTATTTTTAACGAATTTATTTAGATTTTCTAAGTCATTGCGTTGCATTTTGCGGGAGCCTGTCGAGAGAACGAAACCCAGAAGCCAAGAGAGCGACGGCCGAGAGAGCAACAGCCAAGAAAACTGATGAGGGGGAGGGGTAGTGCTGCAGGGAAAGGGGAGGGGAAAGAGGCAATTTAAGTTAAATTTGTTTAGGATTTTAAAAACTTAAACTGCTGCTCCGATCAATATGATTTTCGATCAATAGTCAGTCCTGTGGATCAAATGCTTAGGTTTTATTTTTTCATTTTGTATCAGAAGTAAGAGCCTTATTTAATTTCCACCATGGAAGAAAATAGAAAATTACTACAAATTCTGTAAGCAAAGCCAAAATGTTTCCAAGTTAAATATTAATCTTAAGATTCGAACTTTTGACCAAATACGTATGTACATATGTATATTTGGATATGTTTTGATTTGCTTATATGTACAATACATGTACATACATACAATGTGTGTGTATGTTTCTATTCGAAAGTAGATAATGTGCTTAAATACAAATAAAATAATTTATTATACCCGTTTATCGATCAAATGTGGAATCTGAAAATAATACGTTTCTTTGCTGTTTTTGTATTGGATGCCAATCTTTTACTGTGTGTACAAAGATTTTCGTTTCATTCAAAACAAGAAATTTGAAAACAACAAATTCCAATTTACAAACAAGTATACATATTTGTGCGCAAATTAAAATTGCATTGATAACATTGTAACTGATAAAAAGTATACAAGCTCACGACTTTTACTTGGATCACTTTCATTTATTATGTAGCTCTGCCAGTATCCTTCTGATTCTCTCTCCTGAAATATCTTCTACAAAGGTTGTTAACACAAAGGTTTACAAAAAACGCGCAAATAAGAAATAAGAAAGTCCTGACAACCCAATTTCCTAACTCCAAACTAATATTAAGCGAACAAAAAGTCGTATAAAATACAATTTTACAAAGCGTTGGGGCTGAGATGGGTGAAATATTTTTTTTGGATGCACCTGGAGGGACAGGTAAAACCTTCTTGACAAACTTATTGTTGGCAAAAGTTGGAAGTTAAAAAAAAATAGCCCTAGCTGTAGCATCTTCCGGTATAGCTGCTACCCTGCTCAATGGAGGTCGAAGTGCTCATTCTACATTTAAACTTCCTTTGGATTTAGTTAATTTAGAAACACCTCATTGCTCTATTTCAAAGCAATGTAATATGGCTGCGGCGTTTAAAGATTGTAAGTTAATTGTTTGGGATGAGTGGACAATGTCACATAAAGGTGGGCTTGAAGCCATAAATACAACCCTGCAAGATATTAATGAGAATACTATGTTGATGGGTGGTATTACAGTCCTGCTAGCTGGAGACTTTCGCCAAACCCTTCCTGTTGTGCCAAGAGGTACAAGAGCTGACGAAATAAAGGCCTGTTTAAAATCTTCATTTTTATGGCCACAGATAAAAAAACTAGCGCTCACGAAAAATATGCGAGTGCACTTAAAAGTATACAGTTCTGCAGGAATTTTTGCCGAAACTCTTTTAAAAATTGGGAATGGCGTCCATCCAACAGTTGATGGAAAAATAGTTATAACATCACGCTTAGGAAATGTAGTTAAAAACGTTCAAGACCTTACATCCAAAATATTTCCTGACATTTCCAACATATCATGTAAAAGCTTAGATTGTCTATCTGAGCGCGCCATTTTGACAACGAAAAATGAAAGAGCAACCACTATTAATAATTTATTGCTAAACTCATTTGATGGTTTAGAAGTCTCCTATAAATCGGTCGACTCTGTTCCTGATGCTAATAATGCTGTTCATTACCCTGTTGAATTTTTAAATTCTTTGAATCCTCCAGGAATTCCTCAGCATAATCTGTCTCTTAGGATTGGAGCACCCGTAATGTTATTGCGAAATTTAAGTCCCCCAAAGTTATGCAATGTGACACGATTGCAGATAAAAGGTCTTCATAAGAATGTAATCGAAGCAACAGTATTTACGGGGTGCGCGAAGGGGGAAACAGTGTTTATACCCAGGATCCCATTAATTCCATCCAGTCTGCCGTTTAAGTTTAAAAGGCTTCAATTCCCTCTAAAAGTTTGCTTTGCAATAACTCTAAATAAATCGCAGGGGCAGACTTTGAAGCTGGCTGGACTAGATCTTAGAGAAGATTGTTGTTTACACAGAGGTTTTAAAGCAATCATATTAATTAACATTATTAAACCTAGAAAGTTTCAGTGGAATAGGTCTAATTGGAGATACCACATTAAAAAAAACGCGCCAATTTCTCTATATCAGGGGTGGTGTGGAAATGGGAAAGTCTTGACAACCGTACTCAAAACTAATTTTAAGCGAACGAAGTCGCGCCGGGTACAGCTAGTTGCATTATAGTCCTTGGAGTTCCAGAGCAGCGTTAACAAATTGCTCATGTCCCCCAGGAATGCATTACGGTTCACAAACACCCAGCAGGTGAGCACCAGTTGCAGGATAAAGAGGACGAATACCATGATCGTGTACTGAAATGAATATTACTTTTAGTTGCAGAACATATACGTACGTTGGGTTACATTACTCACCGCTCCCGTCATGCAGGCACTCTGCTTGAAAATGCCAAAGCATCCGAAGAAGGACACCACGAAGATCAGGCATCCCAAAACTGTGACGCAAATGGGGGTGGTGCTGGTGTTCGTTCCATCGCCCTCACTATCAAAGTGATTGAGATCGAACAACATGATCGAGCCCAGCACGATCAGAAGGATGCAAACGATCTGCAAATGGATAAATGATTAAAAAAAAAACAGAGTTTATTTCATTCACGTTACTGCAGAAATGCATATTTCAAAGGAAAGATTTCTCTCCTTTTTATAATAATTATTTTTAAATGGAATCATTCAATTATCTATATATAATTATATCCCCGATTGAGTGTGAGCTTTTTCCCTGCGTGTAAAGTACCCGATGCTAATTGGAACAACAGCTTCGGCGGGGGTGGCTGTTATTCAATTCGCTTGAATCACCGCCGCGCTAACAGTCATCGAAGCCTTTGACTAACATAGCTAATTTTCGAATTTCCATTGCAGATATGCGGCATTTTGCTTATCACGTTCGGCTCCATTATGGTGTCGACCATAAAGGAGTTCTCGAGCGTGGATGAGACATTCACAGCCAACAGCGTGGCCATCATCATCCTGGTCCTTACATCATTTTGCAATAAGGATATTTAATATTTTATTTTTGGTAAAGATAATTATAATAATCCCTAAAGATTATAAAATAAAAGACCGATTTTTAAGGGGATACGGCCACAGCCCAAACAGTAAGAGCAAGAGCAGCCAAATTTTTTCACAGTATTCCATTGGGGGCGTGGGCTCCCACTAAGATCCGATATGTCCCCCCAGTGGCCCCAAACAGCTCCAACATCCATTATTCTGAGCAAAAAAAAGTTGATGTATTTAAGCTTAACTTCTAAAGTGGTTTGGAATTTTGATATTTGGTTTTTTCCGAATTTTAGGTTTTGAAAAGGCCTAATTAGAAATCTAAAAGAAATTTCGATATCCCCCATAATTTGGGGGCTACATTTAAAATTAACTTTTCGATTTAAAAAATCTAAACCGCTGCTCCGACCAAGATGATTTTTCGCTCAATAGTTATTCTATGGCCCAAATGCTTAAGTTTAATTTTTCAAGTTTTTAACATTTTTTTAAAGTATTTTTAACGAATTTATTTAGATTTTCTAAGTCATTGCGTTGCATTTTGCGGGAGCCTGTCGAGAGAACGAAACCCAGAAGCCAAGAGAGCGACGGCCGAGAGAGCAACAGCCAAGAAAACTGATGAGGGGGAGGGGTAGTGCTGCAGGGAAAGGGGGAGGGGAAAGAGGCAATTTAAGTTAAATTTGTTTAGGATTTTAAAAACTTAAACTGCTGCTCCGATCAATATGATTTTCGATCAATAGTCAGTCCTGTGGATCAAATGCTTAAGTTTTATTTTTCATTTTGTAGCAGAAGTAAGAGCCTTATTTAATTTCCACCATGGAAGAAAATAGAAAATTACTACAAATTCTGTAAGCAAAGCCAAAATGTTTCCAAGTTAAATATTAATCTTAAGATTCGAACTTTTGACCAAATACGTATGTACATATGTATATTTGGATATGTTTTGATTTGCTTATATGTACAATACATGTACATACATACAATGTGTGTGTATGTTTCTATTCGAAAGTAGATAATGTGCTTAAATACAAATAAAATAATTTATTATACCCGTTTATCGATCAAATGTGGAATCTGAAAATAATACGTTACTTTGCTGTTTTTGTATTGGATGCCAATCTTTTACTGTGTGTACAAAGATTTTCGTTTCATTCAAAACAAGAAATTTGAAAACAACAAATTCCAATTTACAAACAAGTATACATATTTGTGCGCAAATTAAAATTGCATTGATAACATTGTAACTGATAAAAAGTATACAAGCTCACGACTTTTACTTGGATCACTTTCATTTATTATGTAGCTCTGCCAGTATCCTTCTGATTCTCTCTCCTGAAATATCTTCTACAAAGGTTGTTAACACAAAGGTTTACAAAAAACGCGCAAATAAGAAATAAGAAAGTCCTGACAACCCAATTTCCTAACTCCAAACTAATATTAAGCGAACGAAGTCGCTTCGGGTATAGCTATTTATTATATTTGTTTAAACAATCTGAATTTAATATATGTTTTTAAGGAATCTAAAAAGATGTTATATATTTTCATCGATTTAACAAATTAGTATCGCAAGTATTAGAAGAGGCGTATGCAAAAAATACACTTGCTCTCCTTTGCCACAATTCGATTTGTGGGAGTGAGAAGGAGGCAATTAGAAGAGGGCTATTTTTATTATTATACATATGTTTAAGCAACAATCTGAATTTATTATATGTTTTTAAACAATCTAAAACGATTATATGTATTTTCATGGATTTCACAAATTGAAATCCCAAGTACTAGAATTTTTGGAGTGAGAAGGTGGCAATTAGAAGAGGGCTATACAAAAAAACACTTGCTCTCCTTTGCTACAATTTCAATTTTAGGAGTGAGAAGGAGGCAATGATAATGAGAGAGATCAGTAGCAAGTGTATAGGTAGACGCAAAAAAAGGGGATGATCATGCGCACAACGAACTCTCTGAGAGAGCTTACCCAAAGAGAGAGAAACAAGACTGAGCATAAGATTGACAGTGGTGTAGCAAGGGGGTACGGCCAAAACTCACAATTTTAGTTTAAATTTTTGTTGAAAAACAAACCTTTTTTAGTACACATTTTGATTCTTTTTTGACTTCATTTTAATATTACTTTGATCAAATATTAATATTGAATGAATGACCGCCTCCACAAATTTTTAGTACGTCTATGAGACAGGCACAAGCCTAAAAACGGTTATTTGTTTTTCCATTTTGTGGCGCCACAGATCATGTGACCGTCACACAAATAAATATGCAAGCGTAAATAGGACAAAAGGAATGTGGCAACTAATGGCTACACATTTCGACTATTCAGTAGCAATATGAATTTCAACAGGAGCGGAACATTCCAGGCTGCATGGCAGTCCCAACAACATCAGCAGCAGAATTTGCAATTGCAACTGGAGCAACACAAGCAGCAGCTTGAGTTGTTCCAGCTGCAATTGAACAGCCACAACAGCCAACGCAGCATCAACAATTGCAGCAGCAGCAACAACAGCTTCAGCAAATGCAGCAGCAAATTTTAATGCAGCAACCAACGAAAGCTGCGCACCCAGGAAAGGATCGGCCGCAATTCCAAACGCTGCGAGAGGCCCACAACAGGATTCAGAAGCAGCAGCGCCAAATAAAGGGCCTTCAGGACAAGGTGGCTGCCTTGGAAAGTTTCCAGGCTTATGTGAGCTCCGTGATGCGCCTGCCCCAAACATGGAGTCCGCCGCAGGCAGTGCCGCCGCAGGTAGTACCGCTGCAGACAGTGCCGTTGCTGGCAGTGCCGTCGCAGAGTTTCCAGTCTGGCCCTTCTGCGGATGAGCTGATGCAGCAAATCGCCATGTTGCAACAGCAGCTCCAAAAGCAACAGGCGCGAGCCCCCGAGGAAGAGCGGCGAGATCAGCCGGGTCAACCTGGCTCAATGATGGCGCAGCAAATCCAGGGCTTGCAGCAACAGCTCCAGCAGCAAGACATTTCCAATTAATTAATTTTTTTTTATTTGTTTTTAATTTCTTATTTAGTCCTTACTTTAATTTAATTTTGTTCTTTTTCCCTTTCTTAGTTTTAAGTTTAATTTCATTACAATTTCTTTTTAAATAAAACGAGGACGGAAGCTAACTTCGGCAAGCCGAAGTTTTAAAACCAATGCATACTTTGGACGAAATTGCTAAAATTGTAAAAATAGCGAAAGGCATAAGGTATACATAAGTTACCTGGGTTTTTCATCGTTTCAAGTCTTTAGTTGCGTTTTTCTTACACAAAATTGTCACATACCAATAAAAAAAGGGATACTTTCCCTTTAACAATTTTTCCTATCTCCTTCAAGATGTAGACTTCCGATAGGCAAGCGCTTTTACCCTAATCAAGATATGCGTAAATAAATAAGAATTGGAAAATTTTATGTTAGTAGCTTACACACTGCGCGAAATATTCTGATAATCAACAAATTTGGACCGATTTCACCCTATTGTTCCTATGGGAGCTATAGGATATAGACGTCCGATCGGCGTTTTCACCTTGATCAATGTATGCATAAAAAATAGGATTTGGAAAGATTCATGTCAATAGCTTGTATACTGCGTGAAATATCCTTAAAAATCATTAAATTTTAACCGATTTTATCCTTTTTGTTCCTATGGGAGCTATAGGATATAGACGTCCGATCGTCACGCGCTTTTACTCTGATCAAGGTACGCATAAAAAAATAAGATTTGGAAAGATTTATGTCAATAGCTTTTACACTGCGCGAAATATCTTCCATTCTTGCAAGTTATATCCGATTGTTCCTATGGGAGCTAATATATAGACATCCGATCGGGGCGGTTTTCAAACTTGATCTGCGTACACTTGTTTTAGGACGACTGTGAAAGTTTCAGATCGCTAGCTTTTAAACTGAGCTCGCAAACGGTATTGAAACAGACGGACAGACGGACAGACGGACGGACGGACAGACGGACAGACGGACATGGCTATATCGACTCCCCTATTGATCCTGATCAAGAATATATATACTTTACAGGGTCGGAAACGTCTCCTTCACTGCGTTACAAACTTCTGACCAAAATTATAATACCCTCTGCAAGGGTATAAAAAACCAAAAAAAAAAATTTATAAAAAAATGCTTATTTTGGGTGGCTCTTTATTGTTAACATATCTTGCATTTTCTTTTCCTGGGGTTTTCATTTTCTGTCTTCTTAGATGCGTTCCATTTCTTACACGAAATTGGAACATGAAAACAAAAAGTTAAAAGCAACTCATGTAATAGGCACGGTTACAAACCAATACATCCACATCTTACGATGTTTGTATTTGTGCTTGCGTCGCGCTACGCAAATACTAGAAAATTAAGGACAAGGAAATGAAGGAAACTAATAACAGCTAAACAGGCGCGAGAAGTTTAGTTTTATTTTGGATGCCTAAGCAGCAAGTGAAAGCTATTGTGAAGCGCAAACATTTTAAAATTTTTCTGTGCGTAAAGTTAATTTAAATTCTTACACGTAAGTTATTTTTTCTATTTCCAATATTTCCACTATACAAGTTTTGTATAGACGCTAATCAAATTCTTGAGAAGCGAAGTCATAGTTGACTTTCATTAGTTAGTTATCCATTTCCTTACAATGTATGGACACTTTTCACGTTAATATTTAACGTTGATCAGTGAAGTCAATTTTGACTTTAAATATAAGCAAGCTGTGCTTAAACGCTTTTCACGTTGCTTTTTAACATTGATTAGCGAGTTACTGTTGGCTTTTTTTATACCCTTGCAGAGGGTATTATAATTTTAGTCAAAAGTTTGCAACGCAGTGAAGGAGACATTTCCGACCCTATAAAGTATATATATTCTTGATCAGCATCACCAGGAGAGTTGATCTAGCCATGTCCCCGTCTGTCCGTCCGTCTGTGTCACGTCAACTAGTCTGTCCGTTTTAAAGCTATCGAGGTGCTGTCACGTTTCTTTGCACGCAGTATATAAGTCGGAACGGCCTATCAGTTTTAAAGCTTATTCTGTGTTTGAAACTTTCCCAAATGAGTTGAATCTTTCTATGTGCAGGTATTATATTTTATAAATCGGAACCAAATTCTACGGATCGGCCCACTATATCATATAGCTGCCATATAACTGAATGATCGGAAATGCCATAACTTTGATGTTTTTAAAGTTAGGAAGTTGGGATTTTCTATGGGTTTTATTTTTGGCCGTAATACTCCGACCTACCAAATTTCATAAGGATCGGCTGACTATATCCTATAGCCGCAATATAAACTGATTGATCGGAAATGCCATAGCTTTGGTGTTTGTAAAGTTAGGAAGTTGGGATTATCTATGGGTTTTATTTTTGGCCAATCAATCCGACCTACCAAATTTCATAAGGATCGGCCGACTATATACTATAGCTGCCATATAACTGAACGATTGGAAATGACATAACTTTGGTGTTTTTAAAGTTAGGAAGTTGGGATTTTTTATGAGTATTAAGAATGCATCATATGAATAACCGATCCGGTTTTGAAGAATATAATTTACAGAATATACTGCAAGGGTATATCAACTTCGGCTCCGCCCGAAGTTCGCTTTCTTTCTTGTTTAAGTTGACTTAACTAAATCGATTTTTTTTAACTTCTTTAATTGAAGTTGGCTCTAAAAACTTTGGTAAAAGTTTAATTTGATCTTTGACCTTTAATACAAATTTAAAGCTTTAATATGTCAATTGAGAACCTAAGTATTAATGGTGAGCTGGTGCCCCATATGGTGGTTAAAATAATTGGAGATGGTGCTTGCCTGTTTAGAGCCATTTCATATCATTTAAAAGGCTCACAGCATTTTTCTGGAGTGATTCGCCAGGAAATTGTAGCTCACGTTGTTAACAATTGGGATTTTTTTCAAGTGCACGCACTAAACTCTAATGGACTAAATTTCATAAATTCTGCTCAATATGAAGAGGAAATGATGAAGTCCCGTACTTACGGAACAGAGTGTGAGCTTCAAGCAGCTGCTAATGTATATTCAGTTTGCTTTCATGTTTTTCGAAATGGAAATTTTCATAGCGGTTATGGTTCAGAAGATAACCCTGTTAAATTATTGAAATTTTCTGGTGATCTTGAAAATGGACATTTCGATGTACTTCTATTGTATGAATCATCACCGTTAACAGATTCACCGTCACAAAGATTAGTTGAGGCTAGCACAAAAAAAAAAGCTCCCAAAAGGAGAGCTCGATTTTCTGATAGAACTAAGTCCAACCAAATAAAGGGAGCTAAAAAAAATTCAGGATTGATCATACAGAACAAATAAAAGATAAAAATAAGGAATATTACGCTAATAAGACGTCAGAAGGACATCTTTTATGGAAAGTAAAAAAAATGTCTGGATTTACATATGATTCCCAAATAGCGTATAGTGCTGACAAAATTATTGAAATTGGGCCCATGAATAAGAAATGCAACTATTGCAATGCTTTGAAATGGAAGAACGAATCTGACGGAATTGGCTGTAGTTCCGGAAAAGTTAAACTTCCCCAACTTCAAACATTACCTGAGCCTCTTAAGAGCCTAATCCTAGGCGGTCATCCCAAGCATGCCCACTTCTTAGACCGTTTACGAAAATACAATTCATTATTTCAAATGACTTCATTCGGCTGTAATAAAGTTTATGAAAAAGGTTTCATGCCAACTTTTAAGGTTCAGGGTCAGGTATATCACCTAATTGGCAGTCTATGGCCTACAAAGGAAATAGAAGCACAGTTCCTTCAAATATATTTTGTTGGTGAGGATGAAAAGGAAACAGAACTGAGATGTAAAAATGCGTCTGATGTGAATCGTGATTTGGTAAAAGCTTTACAATCTATGTTTCATAAAATTAATCCGTTCGTTAAAGATTTAAAATCAACTATTGACAAAGTTCCTGCAAATACTACTGACTAAAAAATGATAATTCATGCCGATCGCACACCATCTGGATCTCACAAGGGTTGCTATAATGCACCAAGAGCAAGTGAAGTAGCTTTACTTATTGTTGGTCAGCACTTCAAATAGAGAGATATTATTCTTGAAAGTCATAATTCAAAATTACAAAAAATTAATGAACTACACCGTTCCTATGACGCTTTGCAGTATCCGCTTCTCTTTCCACATGGAGAGGATGGATATTCAATTGATATACCGCAAGTAGATCCTCTATCAAAAAAACATTTAAAAAAAACCGTATCGGCACTAAATTTTTATAGTTACCGAATAATGATTCGGGAGGGTGAAATTAATCATTTAATTTATTTCAAAGCTCTTTTAAGTCAGTTTTTAGTCGATATGTGTGCCAAAATGGAAGCAGAACGGCTTAATTTTATTCGAAACAATCAAGAAAAACTTAGGGCTGAAAGCTATATACACCTTAAAGACGCTATAGGTAGACAAGATGTAAATCCAGCTCAGCTGGGCCAAATGGTTATTTTACCATCTTCATTCACGAGTTCTGCACGTTATATGCATGAGAAAACTCAGGATGCTATGACATATGTCCGGCACTATGGCCGTCCTGATTTATTTATAACATTTACTTGCAATCCTAAGTGGAAAGACATTACAGAGTCATTATTACCCGGTCAGATGGCCTATGACCGCCATGATATAATAGCGCGAGTATTTCATTTAAAAGTTAAAGCACTAAAGGCTCTTTTAGTTAAGAACGAATTGTTTGGAGAAGTTCAATGTTTCATGTACACTGTAGAATGGCAAAAACGTGGCCTCCCACATGTTCATATACTACTTTGGCTTAAAAATCGAATTTATGCTGATCAAATAGACGATACAATATGTGCAGAAATTCCAGATCCACAGAAAGATCCCGTGCTACATAGTATCGTACAGTCCAATATGATTCATGGACCTTGCGGAATGTTAAACCGTAGTTCACCGTGCATGAAAGATGGCAAATGTTCAAAAAAATTTCCCCGTCAGCTCTCAATGGAAACAGTAACAGGAATTGATAGTTATCCTCTGTATCGAAGAAGGGCTTCAGATGATGGTGGCTTTACTGTAGAAAAGAATGGTGTCTAAAATACAACCGTTGGGTTGTGCCATAGTGCAGTACTATTACGTGCAATGGAAGCACACATAAATGTTGAAGCCTGCAGTTCAGTTAAGTCTATAAAATACGTATGCAAATATGTCAATAAAGGCAGCGACCAGGCTTCATTTTCCCTTGAAGACCGAAGAAATGAAGTTAAAACGTATGAAAATGGAAGATATATAAGCAGTTCGGAAGCCATGTGGAGAATCCTGGCTTTCCCTATACACGAACGATTTCCAGCAGTTATGCAATTGTCTGTACATTTAGAAAATGGGCAGCGTGTGTACTTTAATCACAATGATCCGAATCAACTAGCAAAGAAGATAAACACTACTTCGAATACTACACTTCTCGCTTTCATTGAACTTTGTAAAATTGATGATTTCGCCAAAACTCTTTTATATGTTGAAGTTCCATACTATTACACATGGAACAATACAAAGTTTCTTAGAAGAAAACGGGGCAGTGACGTACCTCATTTTTCTGGAGTTAAAAAGGCTTTGGGCAGAGTTTATACCGTTCACCCACATAACAGTGAATGTTATTTTCTTAGACTTTTACTCCATGAGGTACGAGGTCCAACTTCATTTTCGTATTTAAAAACTGTAAATGGCGTAATATACAGTACGTTTCAATTAGCTTGCAAAGCATTGGGCTTACTTGAGGATGATAGTCATTGGGACAAAACTTTGGCAGAAGCTAGCGTTTGTCAAGTTCCAAAAAACTTACGTGATCTCTTTGGAATTATGTTAGTTTTTTGTCAACTCTCGGATCCTTTAGGTCTTTGGAATAAGTACAAGACTTTCTTATCGGAAGATATACTTCATTCATTACAAATGCCCGTAAACTCTGACATTAATGACGAAATTATGGAAAGAGTCTATAACAAATGTCTAATAAGCATTGAACATTTTGTATTGTCTATTGGTGGAACATGTCTTAAAGAATATGGTCTTCCTCAACCAATTATTCCTGAAGCCGAATTGGAAGAAAATAATACCGATTATCTAAGAGAAATAAGTTATGAAAGTAACAACACTCTCCTTACCAACAACGAAAATTTGCTTACAGACGAGCAAAAAGTCGTATACAATACAATTTTACAAAGCGTTGGGGCTGAGATGGGTGAAATATTTTTTTTGGATGCACCTGGAGGGACAGGTAAAACCTTCTTGACAAACTTATTGTTGGCAAAAGTTCGAAGTTCAAAAAAATAGCCCTAGCTGTAGCATCTTCCGGTATAGCTGCTACCCTGCTCAATGGAGGTCGAACTGCTCATTCTACATTTAAACTTCCTTTGGATTTAGTTAATTTAGAAACACCTCATTGCTCTATTTCAAAGCAATGTAATATGGCTGCGGTGTTTAAAGATTGTAAGTTAATTGTTTGGGATGAGTGCACAATGTCACATAAAGGTGGGCTTGAAGCCATAAATAGAACCCTGCAAGATATTAATGAGAATACTATGTTGATGGGTGGTATTACAGTCCTGCTAGCTGGAGACTTTCGCCAAACCCTTCCTGTTGTGCCAAGAGGTACAAGAGCTGACGAAATAAAGGCCTGTTTAAAATCTTCATTTTTATGGCCACAGATAAAAAAACTAGCGCTCACGAAAAATATGCGAGTGCACTTAAAAGGAGACAGTTCTGCAGGAATTTTTGCCGAAACTCTTTTAAAAATTGGGAATGGCGTCCATCCAACAGTTGATGGAAAAATAATTATAACATCACGCTTAGGAAATGTAGTTAAAAACGTTCAAGACCTTACATCCAAAATATTTCCTGACATTTCCAACATATCATGTAAAAGCTTAGATTGGCTATCTGAGCGCGCCATTTTGACAACGAAAAATGAAAGAGCAACTATTAATAATTTATTGCTAGACTCATTTGATGGTTTAGAAGTCTCCTATAAATCGGTCGACTCTGTTCCTGATGCTGATAATGCTGTTCATTACCCTGTTGAATTATTAAATTCTTTGAATCCTCCAGGAATTCCTCAGCATAATCTGTCTCTTAGGATTGGAGCACCCGTAATGTTATTGCGAAATTTAAGTACCCCAAAGTTATGCAATGGGACACGATTGCAGATAAAAGGTCTTCATAAGAATGTAATCGAAGCAACAGTATTTACGGGGTGCGCGAAGGAGGAAACAGTGTTTATACCCAGGATCCCATTAATACCATCCAGTTTGCCGTTTCAGTTTAAAAGGCTACAATTCCCTCTAATAGTTTGCTTTGCAATAACTATAAATAAATCGCAGGGGCAGACTTTGAAGCTGGCTGGACTAGATCTTAGAGAAGATTGCTTCTCTCATGGACAATTTTATGTCGCATGCTCTAGAGTTAGCTCTGCCAGTAGCCTTATTATTCTCGCTCCTGAAGGATCTTCTAAAAATGTTGTTTACACAGAGGTTTTAAAGCAATCATATTAATTAACATTATTAAACCTAGAAAGTTTCAGTGGAATAGGTTTAATTGGAGATACCACATTAAAAAAAACGCGCCAATTTCTCTACCTCAGGGGTGGTGTGGAAATGGGGAAGTCTTGACAACCATACTCAAAACTAATTTTAAGCGAACGAAGTCGCTCCGGGTACAGCTAGTTTATTATAATTTGGTAAGATAGTTAAACTTTGTTTTTGAACTGAATATAAATAATTGTTTATGGTAATACTTATTGTATTTATTTTGAGTTTAATAATTTTAAAAACAAAATGCCAACCTCAGAAAATAATTTGATGATAGAATTGAATTAACATAGGGTTTTTTTCATAATTAATATCCTTTCATTGCAGTTCAAGTGCTGTGGTCTTAAGGGGTTATCCGGGTCTTGACACTTCAAAAAATTAATTTTTTTCAAACTTTTTTATATAATAGTACAGAGTTTCAGAAATGTAGTCTGAAAATTTTAAGTCGATCGAAGCAAAAATGTAGGAATGGGAGAAATTTAAAGCTCAGTGCGTCGAACGTCACAACAGGCAATTCTGGCTCTGGCGTCGGGCAGATGCGGCACTTTAAACGCGTTTTTCTCAAAACCACTTTTTTGAAGTCGGTAGTCACGATTTCTCAAAAACTATTGCACCGATCAACTTCTGCTTTTGCACACTTCTTTTAGACATAATTCTCTTGTCCTTAACGGAGGGATTTTTTTAATTTTTAATTACAACTCATTTTATAAGCCAAAATATGGCCAAAATTTACGTAAAAAATGACACTTTTTATGAAAAGCGCTACAAAAAATTAAATTTTTAATTTAAAAAAAAAATGGCTCGTAGAGGACAAGCGAGACACATACACTATCAGAATAATTTTGGTTTTTTGATTTCAGACAAAAATTGGCGGAGATATTTTGCCTACCGCAAGGACACAATTTTTTATGAGGTCAAGTTCAAGCCTGCCTCAACGGCTCAATTTTAAAAATATTTGGTTCAAATTTTTACACAATGTTGGTCAAACCATAAACATTAATGTACAATAAATGAAATTTGTGAAATTGCCATAAGATCTTTAAAATAAATTTACGAAAATAGGCTTTTTTTCGTGCTCCAAGACCCGGATAACCCCTTAACGGATTTGCCGATTACGGAACTTCTTATCTCGCCTCCTGCTGCGACGCGCCCACAAACGGATCCTGCGGAATGACCCAAGTTATTGGCCGTTCCAGTTGCCTGAGAGCCGTCGATTCGTTCTGGGACACGTACGCGAATATCATCAAGTACGCTGGCCTGGGTGTGACCGCTGTTGAGGTAATTGCAATCTGAATCTTTCGAATCCGCCATACTAACTAGTAAACCTTTTTTTCAGCTTGTGGCTTTTATCTTCGCGTGTTGCTTGGCCAACCAGACGCGCAACTCCCAGAGACGCCAGAACTACTAAGAGTTTAAGCATCTTAATATAGTACTAAGATTATCTCCCGAACTATTAAATGACAGAGTAAATGTATTAATAAAGAAAACAAATTAAATATTTTATTCAAAGTCCCCCTGTGGAGCATGTATATGTTGAAAAACAACGAAGTTGTGTCAATTTGATATAAGCGTGCCAAATTTTTAAAAGATAAAAAAACAATTTTTGAAAAAATACTTTCAAAAACAACGATGCTGTTCCTATGGCAGCTATACGATATCGTCGACCGATCTGGACCGTTCTGGCTTATATACTACCTGCTCAAGAAATAAGACTGTTTCATCCAGATAGCTTTAAAACTGAGAATAATTTGCGTAGAAAAGAGCGACGGACATGGCTAGATCGACTTGCCGGTGTATAAAAGCATTTATAAATATTCATAATATCAGGGTCCGAAAAGATTATTGCGATTTAGATCTATAAATGGAACAAATAATTTACTCCTTACCACAAGGTGTGTACAGCCAAACAGGCATAATTTTTGTTCCGTTAACCTTACGAGTATTGTGGAACGTAAAGTAAAGTAAAGTTTTAGTCGGCCGATCCTTATGAAATTTGGTAGGTCGGATTGACTAACCAAATATAAAACCCATAGAAAATCGCACCTTTCTAACTTTACAAACATCAAAGTTATGGCATTTCCGATCAATCAGTTATATGGTAGCTATAGGATATAGTCGGCCGATCCCGGCCGTTGCGACATATTTACTGCGTGCAAAGGAAAGAAGTGTGTGTGCAAAGTTTCAGTTCGATATCTTTAAAACTGAGAGACTAGAAAATTAGTTATTTAATCAACTGGCCGATCACCCAATACTAGGTAGAACAATAGTTAATGATGGTCTTTAAGAAATAATTCATATCCATAATATAATGGAATGGAATATAGCCAAATAAATAACATTTAAGAAAATGGAATAAAATAAATATAAATAAATACAAATAAAAATATATTAAAGGCAATTAGAGAGACATATGATAGGGACCCTTATTTTAAAGATAGAATTCTGCAATTAGTCTCAGCGATTTCAGTAAGCATTTATGATTTAGAAAATTTATATATTGAATTTTAATTTTTTAGATTTAATTTATATGCTTCCCCATTAATACATTGCACAAGAACCCAAAAGGAATTGTATTACCCGTCATTCCTGGTGTACAAGTTAGATCAGTAATAGACGATCACCCAATACTAGGTAGAACAATAGTTGATGATGGTCTTTAAGAAATAATTCATATCCATAATATAATGGAATGGAATGAATTATATAACCAAATAAAAACATAAAAATTGATCTTGACAAATCATATAAGTCACTTACTCAAAACAGGCCAATTCAAAAAAAAAATATAAAAAAACATGTAGAAATATTAGTAAAATGCTTTAATGAAGCACGAATACTAACCAGAGAAAAAAATTAAATCAAGATCATTGGTCCCAAGTATCAAAATTTTTGATCAGATTACGAACTAATTTAATATCAATTAAACAAAAGTTCAATTTAGATATATCAGTACCGACCATACTTAACACTTCTCTAACAGTTGAATCTGGTGATGAACCGGAATCAACAGAACAAACTGACATTGACCAAATAGAATCAGAAGAGCTTACCGAGACAAACCCTAAAATAGAAGAGCAGTATATAAATAATCTTACTTTTCCAGCTATTTTAATGTCAGATCTGGATAGTTCTACAGATTCTGATGGTTCAAGCATAATAGAGAATAAAATAAGCAACAAAGCTAAAAAGTGTCGCCAGGAATCTAATCGGAAATGAAACAACAATAACTGAAGTCATTTCTATATTAAAAAGCTACGTCAAATGCGAAACTGTAGAAGTATTGTCAGCAAAACTGATGAAATTACAGCAAACGCAATAAAACTGCTAACCAGTACACACAAAAGGTTGAGCAGATGACAAAAGCTTAAGAAGGTGCATATACAACAGACGGCTTACCCCTAGAGTTAGCCAGAAGTTATTCCACTCAGCATGCAGTCAAAGCAATGACTAACAATTGTACAATCGATAAGGTAAAGCTTATCATGCAAGCTGGTACCTTCAATACTATGAATGATGGCGTATCAAAATTTGTAAATAGTTGCACAGAAGCAATCGGACAGCCAAACACTGTCCTATATTACAAAAATTATCCACAACGCGGTGGAAACCGCGGACGAGGAAATTACAGAGGTAACTTTAATAATAATAATAATTACAACAACAATGGTACCCAATACAATAATGGACGAGGCCAATATAGAGGAAACTATAGAGGCCGTGGCAACTCAAGTCGAGGCCACAACAATAATAACCAAGGTAATGTCCGAGTAACCAATAATACATCGGAAAACTCACAAAACCCTTTAGATACTCAACAGTAGAAAATGCATGGGTTCATAATCTCAGTCAGAGCATATTTGTATCATTCAACCATGTGGCTACAGGAAAAGAACTTGTCTTTTTAGTAGACACAAGTGCAGATATTTCAATAGTTAAAGAAAATTCTGATGTCTTTCATGACATAAATGATAATTACATTATAGACATTAGAGTCAAGAGGTAACAAACTCAAAGGGGTTAACTTCTACTGAGATACAGACCACTAAGTACATAATCCAAAACGATTTTCATATCGTGGATTTACAATTCGCTATTCCTTGTGATGGCATATTAGGAATCGATTTTATAAAAAAATACAACTGCCAATTAGACTTCAAGCGATCTGAAGATTGGCTTATAATTAGACCTAATAACTTAAAATTTCCAATTTATTTTCCAATAACATACAGTGTTGGCTCAAATTTGAATTTTTTATGAAATTGCTAAAAAACTTGAAGTTTAGTGTAAGTTAGTTTAGGGCGAAGGCGGGAGCACAATAAAGTTCTCTCTCGCTTTCGGCGAAGTCGCCCCATCTTCGCCAACCTTCGTTAAGCTAGGCTCTAAGTACTTTGTAGAAATATAGAATATAAATTCGTTGAAATTGAATTGAGCCGTCGACACCTTTTTTCTTTTCGTTCGTTTTTTCGCAAATTAATAATTTTAGCCACCGCAGTTTTTTTCGGTTTTGAATAAATTAGAATTAGTGACAGTGACACATAAAAAAAAAAGAACAAAAGTGCAAGTGCAAGTGCAGGTCAAAGCACTCAAATTGCATAGAGCGTTTTATTGTTGCCCGCGGCGTGTCGGTGTTGGTAGGAAAAAATACACAGCAGCTCCTGCTCAAAATATCGTGCCGGTCACGAAATACCCTGTTCGCCACAGAAGAACTGCTGGCAGAGGGATGCCCTACAACTGTAGTGGCAGCTAGATTGAAAGACCCTAACGCAGAACCTGAGGGATTTTTTGCAAAAATTGAAAGCTTGAGTTTATAAGCAAAACAATTTAATGACAATAGTCTTGTGCTGAAAAATTGCACCTCGCTTTCAATTCTTGGCACAGACGTATCGATATAGTAGAGCTACTTGTGCATGCATTTATTTATAATAAATAAAATAAAAATTATATTAAAATTTATTATATACACATACATATACACATACACATTATATAACCTATTTGAACCGCCGTTGCATGCAACATTTAATTGTCATATATTTTTGCAATCACTGTCGCCCCCAGTTTTTATTTAATTGAAACTCGAAAATTGATATAGTAGTTGGTAAAATCATCCCAGCCGCTATATATAACCAATACATTCGGACGGGTATACTAATTTTGGCCGTCATTTGCAACTACTATTAATTTTGGCTCGATATTCAATTTAATATTTTTTTCGTCGTTTTCGTTGTGGATAAGTATTAAAATAATTTTTCCAGCAAGCAATAATTAAATTAAATTATTATTTACTCTTGTTTTTTTTTTGGTTCGAAAATTTATTTAACATTTTGTCGTCGTTCTAATTGAACAATTATCCTGTCTTAAAATGTATTTATTTTATTAATTTATTATTCTTTGAATAAATAATTTGCAAAAGTAAGTTTTTGTAATTGCCAGAAGAAGGTTAATGCATAAGAAAATTTTGGGAAAAGTCGCTATCGGCTCAAGAGATGTATTCATTGTTGTACATAAAACTGTTTAAACAGCAGGCTTTGGAAATATTGCCTTCATTGTTGTACATAAAACTGTAAAAAATCGAGTTAACGAAACATTGCCAAAGTTTTAATTGGAAATAATGCCTGCTTTGAGATCAAGACTTGGACGGCGTTCACGAAATGCGATACATTCTCAGAATGGCCTTAAAAATCAAACGCAAGAGGAAAGAAATAAATGCATCGGCACGCGCCCGAATTGCACAGCCTCGCGCTGCACAAAGACCACCTCAAGCCCGATAAAATGTGAGTAGAAGAAGACCAGCCGCAAATGACAACTTGAATCGCGCTGCATTCGCATACAATTCCGAAACACCCTACAAAGATCATACCTGCGTTGTTATTGGTTCATTGTCTGTCGTATGTCAGCATTACAATGCACTGAAGTTTCGATTGGAAACCCCCGGTTTATGCTGTGCAGGTGGCAAAATTAAGTTGCCCGTTTTGGCTCATCCACCAGAGCCATTGTATTCGCGACCATATGGAAATTCAGCCCAATCAAACAGCTTCCTAAAGCTTGCACAAAAATATAACGAATGCTTTCAAATGACGTCATTTGGAGCCGAGGTTGTTCATCAACCAGGCTACAATCCGAGTTATAAAGTAATGGCGTCGCTTTATTATCTCATTTTTTCAAAATTGCATCCCAACATTCAGATTCAAGGGCAAATTCACCATCGAGCGTAATTACGGACGCCCGGATTTATTCATCACGTTCACATGCAATCCGAAATGGCCCGAAACTACGAAACTACGGTTGCTTCCAGGGCAAACATCTAGCGATCGACCTGACATCACTGCACGAGTATTCAAGCAAAGATCACAGTACTTATGAATTGCATTGTTAAGCAGAAGGTTTTTGGCGCAATTCGTTGTGGGATGTACTCGGTTGAGTGGCAGAAGCGTGGCTTACCACATGCGCACTTTCAGCTTGGATGTTTGACAAGATCCGACCAGATCAAATTGATTCGGTTATTTCAGCCGAAATACCAGAAGTTTCAATATGGGGTTATATGAAGTCGTGAAATTGGGGCGAGACAAAGTTCGCCGGGTGCTCTAGTATAATATATATATATAAGTTAAAAGATTAATTATAATTTTATATAAAAACAAGAGAGAACGCTATAGTCGGGTGCCCCGATTATCAGATACCCGTTACTCAGGTAAAGGGAGTGCGAGGGAGATGGAGATAGAAACTTTGATCACCCATAACTTTTTAACGAATGGTCCGATTTGAAAAATTTCTTCTACATTTCGATAGGTATTGATAAACACAATAAAACTGCATTTTTACTTTTCCGAAATATTTAAATTTTTAAAATCGTATATCAGCGATTGTGGGCGTTAAAGGGGGCGTGGCACCTTTTTGAAACAAACTTGCGCTGCGTAGGAACTCCTAGAATCTGCATGCAAAATGCCAATCCTCTAGCTTTTATAGTTTCCGAGATCTCAGCGTTCATACGGACGGACAGACAGACGGACATGGCTATATCGACTCGGCTAGTGACCCTGATCAAGAATATATATACTTTATAGGGTCGGAAACGCTTCCTTCTAGCTGTTACATACTTTTGCACGAATACAATATACCCTTTTACTCTACGAGTAACGGGTATAAAAATCAATCTTTACTTATTGAGTTGGATTAAGAACTAACTTTAATTAAGCTAAACAATTATTCATTATAACTACGCGTCGTTCCATCGCTGCCACCGTCTCTGCCACTGCTGCTGTTTCTGCTAACGTTCTTTATTATTATTGGTTGCTGCTATTCTTCGCTGTCGCTGTTGGTCGATTTTAATTGTCATTGGCCAATGCATTCAAGTTATAGTTTTTGTTGTATGCACTTGGCCAAGTTCGATCAACTTTGGAAATTGGCTATTCTGCATTCCCACGATCGCTGACCGAAAGGTGCAAGCTCAGCGCACGTGGCTTAGTTCGGGTGAACTTTATTGGGGGCATTTGTTGTGCAATCAATGCTTACTCTTACTTATGTTTGGGTCTTTATATAATTCTAGGTGTTAACTTATATATTTATTATCGTGGATTATATAAATTAATTAAAAATGAGTCCAGATAAGCCAAAATCTCTTGAACTTCTTGCGGATCTTAAAAATAAGCTCAAAAAACCAGTGATCAGCATCCGCCGATTAAATGAACGAATAGAAGCCGGCCAGATTCCGATTCAAGAAGTAGAACTGAATTGTCGGCTAGAGATTTTAAATGCTTCAATTATTAAGGCAACTCAATTACAAGAACAGATCGAAGATTTAGATGATGGCAACGAGTTCGGAAAAGAGTTGAAAGAGCTTTCAATAATAACCAAGGCAAAAATAATGTCGCTTATCTCAGCCTTGAAGACGGCAAGCGAAACCAAAATAATTGGATCAGCTTCTGTAGCCCCAACTCGAGCTCGACTTCCGAATTTGGCATTGCCGAAATTCAGCGGCAAATATTCGGAGTTTAAGAATTTTATTAGCCTTTTCGAAACTTTTGTTCTTCAAGACGACAGCATTCCCGTTATTGAAAAATTCAGTCACTTAATTTCTTGTCTTTCTGGTGAAGCTTTGGGAACTATTAAGGCCTACCAAGTCACCGAGAGCAATTATGAAAAGGCTATGATCAGCCCGAAAAAAGTTTATGATAACGGAAGTTTTAATTTTTATGAATAATATTTCAACATTGTCTAGTCTTCCGAAAATAACGCAACAGTCAGCGTCGTCCTTAAAAAAAAGAAGAATCGACGAAACCAAAGTAAGATAAAGTTTTGTCGAGCAAGCCACATAATCGTAGCTCATTTTCTTGTTCTTCGTCTAACAGTAAATCCCAGCAAAGTTGTAGCTATTGCAATGCAGGAGACCATATCCTAGCGAACTCTGGTCCGTTTTGTCGCCTTTCGGTAATGCAAAGGTTCGACTTTGTATAATCTGCTTCCTTATGCATCAATTGTATGGGAAAGGGTCACACTGTTTCGAAATGCAAATTTAATAAATGTCGAGTTTGTGGCCGCTCGCATCACGTTTTACTGCACAGATATACAGTGTCCGAAAATAGTTTAGCGTTGCCACCACCCCAAGAGATTCTTTCTCCCTCTTGAAATCAAGATCAGCCTTCCACGTCACATATTATACATGCGACATCATTGGACAGAGTGATTTTAGCCACGTCGATCGTAAGTGTAAGAACTAAAAACGGTGAATATATTTGGGCACGAGCACTTCTTGACTCTGGGTCCCAAACTATGTTTATAACAGAGGACGGTGAATATATTTGGGCACGAGCACTTCTTGACTCTGGGTCCCAAACTATGTTTATGACAGAGGACCTTGCTCACAGCTTACAGATCCGTAAAGAGGAGTCGTGCATAAACTTACTGGGTATTGGCGAATCCATGGTGAAGTCGCGTATAAATGGTAGTGAGTGCACTTTCGATTTTTGGATTTTGAAATCAATATTAGGATATCATCCTGACCAGTCGGTCAATATCAATGACTGGAAAATTCCAAAGAACCTACCACTAGCTGACCCCTATTTCAACAAGCCACAAAGAACAGATGTGTTCATAGGATCAGAATCATTTCTCGAACTATTAGCTGTTTGACAAATTAGGCAAGGTCCTGATTTTCCAACTCTGCAGAAAACCCTCTTCGACTGGGTTGTATCGGGTAGATATAAGGCATCTTCCCCTACAGAAGTTGTGAAAAGTTTCAGTTGTAGTGAAGAGGTTTTAGTATCTATTGACAGCACACTACAGAAGTTTTGATCACTGCCATCTCTAAAGAAAATTCTGTCACCTGAGCAAAAGTTATGTGAGGAACACTACCGGAAGACTACTCAGGTTTTGCCATCAGGTCGGTTTGAAGTAAGACTGCCGTTTAAATCTGATCCAAATGAGTTAGGCAATTTGAAGTTGCAAAACGGCGGTTTTTGTCGCTTGAAAGAAGGCTGTCGTGAGACCCTAAGTTGAAGAAAATGTGCCTAGAATTTATGGAGGAGTACCTTTCCTCAGGTCATATGTCTCTTCTGCTCCACATTATGTTATCCCACATCAATGTGTTCTGAGACCCCAAAGTACGTCAACCAAGTTACGTGTCGTTTTCGATGCGTCTTGTAAATCGTCAACTCAGAAGTCTCTAAATGACATTTTGATGGTCGCCAAGTGATGCTGAATGAAGCAGATAGGCAGTTTCAACATATAGTGTGGAGAAGAGACCCCTCTGAGTCCTTGTGATTATACAAGCTCAACACCGTAGCATATGTTACTGGACCAGCCTCGTTTCTGGCTATTCGTTGTTTAAAAAGGTTAAGTGAGTCTGCCAAACATTCTTTTCCTAGAGCTGCTAAAGTTATTGGATCCGACTTTTATGTCGATGATATGTTGACTGGTGCTGCATGCGTAGAGAAGTTAAAGACTGTTAAGTCTGAAGTATCTCAGGTTCTTCAAACTGCAGGTTTTGAATTGACAAAGTGGTTTTCAATCTCACCTGACGTTACCGCATCTGAGAGCACAGTTAAATCCATACCCATCTCGGACTCAGAGTAAACTAAGGCGTTAGGAATATCGTGGTTGCCTAACGAAGATGCCTTCAAGTTCCAAATCGACACTGCTGACATGGGTCTCCGAGCGACAAAACGAAACATACTATCGGTGACATCGAAGCTGTTTGACCCCCTCGGCTTATTAAGTCCTATTGTAATTAGAGGAAAGATCCTATTACAGGAACTGTGGCTAAATAAGTTTGATTGAGATGAGTCGATTCCTATTCATTTGGAAGCAGCGTGGAATATGATAAAAATGACACTGTCTAAATTAGAGGAAATATCTATTCCCCGGTTTGTGCATACCGATCCGATGTCACCGGTCCAATTACATGCCTTTGCCGACGCATCCTTAAGAGCTTATGGAGCTTGCGTCTACATTCGTAGCAAAATTGCAGAAGGTTATAAAATATCGCTGTTGAATTCAAAGTCTAAAGTAGCGCCTCTCAAGACTAAGACACTCCCAAGGCTCGCAGATCTCTGCCACAGAATCAAGCCCCTATTAAAGGTACTTATCGAACGGATTGTTTATTGGTCGGATTCTGAAGTTACGCTTCATTGGATCCGGTCTCATCCATCTTCATTATCCACATTCGTATCGAATAGAGTTGCGCAGATTCAAACAGAACCCAGCAGATATTGTATCAAGAGGTTGTGACGTCGACAAAATTATACAGTCAATATGGTTTACTGGACCTGCGTTTTTAAAAGAGGAAGATGCAAACTGGCCCCAGAATGCACTCTTTGACCTAGATGAAGAAGTCCTACTACAAGAATCGAGGAAGACTGCGGTCGGACTGAAATTTGAAATTGGTAGATGTCACCTTAAACTGCTTCGGGTATTCGTTTATATGTTCCGCTTCATAAGAAAATGTAAAGACAAAAGTATGGTATTTGAAAAAACTTTGTCGCCGACTGAATATAATGAAGCTTTTCTAAAAATTGTCGAGATATTACAGAAGCACGAGTATCATGAAGAAAGAGAAAAAGTCCGTAAAGGATCCAGAGTTGGCCCAAGTCTTCAGCGATTGAATCCATTCATCCATGAAGACAAGGGGACTTGGTGTCACTTTTCTTTGTTGCGAGTTGGGGGGCGACTAGCTAATGCTCCCATATCATACGATGCCAAGTTTCCATTGTTGTTGACAAAACGCTCCCAATTTGTGCAGAGCTATGTTCGGCATCTTCACCATTCCAATTTTCATGTTGGTCCAAGAGCCCTTGTGAGTCTCCTTCGACAGCGTATTTGGATCGTAAACGCTCAGGAGGTCTGCAGTCAGATAGTTCGATCATGCATACGCTGCTTTAAGTGTAAGCCTCGACTAACGACACAATTTATGGGAAATTTACCCGCAGATCGCCTCCGTGCTCTCCGGCCATTTGCTATATGTCCCGTTGATTTTTGTGGCCCTGTCTATACGACATTGAAAATTCGTGGTAGGTCTTCGTAAAAGTCCTACATTGCGCTCTTCGTTTGTCTTGCGTCCAAAGCGGTTGTTTCAGATTTAACCACAGATTCCTTTTTATTGGCATTTCAAAGGTTCGTTGGGCGCCGAGGATGTCCCCAAGTCGTCCAATGCGACAACGGGACGAACTTCGTCGGAGCGAGTCGCCACTTCCGGGCCCTTCGAGAGAGGATACAGGACGAAGCCGACGCGATACGCGAATTCGCATCAAAAAGCGGATGCGAATTTGTGTTCACACCACCGCGGGCTCCGCACATGGGCGGACTATGGGAGGCAGGTGTTAAAACTGCCAAGACCGTACTCCTACGGGCGGTGGGCAGGGCGCTCCTAAGTGCAGAAGAGCTGGGGACAGTCCTCGTGGGAATCGAGGCAGTGATGAACTTCCGGCCGCTCGGAACAATCAGCAGCGACCCAAGCTATGGAGAGGCGCTGACTCCCGGCACCTACTGACAGGCGGGCCGCTACTCGCCACACCAGCACTCCGGACCCCGGACCAGGAGGGTCTCAACTGCTGCGGCGGTGGCGGCCTGTCTCGTCAGTCAGGCAAATGTTACAATTCGCTATTCCTTGTGATGGCATATTAGGAATCGATTTTATAAAAAAATACAACTGCCAATTAGACTTCAAGCGATCTGAAGATTGGCTTATAATTAGACCTAATAACTTAAAATTTCCAATTTATTTTCCAATAACATACAGTGTTGGCTCAAATTTGAATTTTTTATGAAATTGCTAAAAAACTTGAAGTTTAGTGTAAGTTAGTTTAGGGCGAAGGCGAGAGCACAATAAAGTTCTCTCTCGCTTTCGGCGAAGTCGCCCCATCTTCGCCAACCTTCGTTAAGCTAGGCTCTAAGTACTTTGTCGAAATATAGAATTGACATTCGTTGAAATTGAATTGAGCCGTCGACACCTTTTTTCTTTTCGTTCGTTTTTTTCGCAAATGAATAATTTTATCCTCATGGCTAGATCGACTCGGCTAGTGATCCTGATCAAGAATATATATACTTTATAGGGTCGGAAACGCTTCCTTCTACCTGTTACATACTTTTGCACGAATACAATATACCCTTTTACTCTACGAGTAACGGGTATAATTACAGAAGCCCACACAGTCAGGTGAACGAAATACAGAAACAAGTCGGAAAATTAATCACCGACGAGATTGTTGAACCATCTGTATCTGAATATAATAGCCCATTATTAGTTTTTTTTGTTGTTTTTTTCATTTGGTTTTTTTCTTCGCGCGGAGTCTTACGACCCACTTACCCGCCCAATCGACCGAGGGGCGCAGCCGTGTATCGTACGGCAGGATTCGCGAGAAGATAGACACGAGATAAGGAAATATAGGTAAAAGTCCGAAAAAAATAATAGTAAGATTCATTTTGTGCCAATAAAGCTAGTATTAATCGGTTTAGGAGCGGCAGAGAGTCAAGATTTTAGATTATAGGAAAAAGTCTATTATAGTCAAAACATAATACTCTAAAAAGGCTCATGCATTATTAGGGGAATATAATTTCTAGTTAATCAACTTGGCACAGAAAAGTTAAGCCGACTTACCATGTCGGGGGATTCAATATCACCATGTATAAGGCTATAAATGAAGACAGTACCACTAACCATACAACATATACACTAGCCATTTCATACAACGAAAGTGGTCACAAAAGTTTCAAAGCGGCAGGCCCATGATACAATAACATAAGGTAGTCTCGTCGGCTTTCTAAACGTTCGGGTTTTGATCAGTACGTGTTCGTTTTTGGAAGGAAAAGGTTGTCTGCGGACGAATTTTTTACAGAATTAACCCTTGAGCAACATGACTTTTTGCAATGTGTGCCGCAAACAAGTCGATGGCGTAAAATTTTTAAAGGCACCGAAATGTTTGGAAAAAAGAGCGCTGTGGGAGGAATTAAGAATCTTAACAAAAGACTTAGCATTCAAAGACAAAAACAACGCCTATTTTCTAATTCCATATTATTAAAAATTAAATTATAAAAAAAAATTAAACTCGTTTTATTATGAAAGGCAACAAAAACCCCTGAAACATCTAAGGGTTAATCCACACATTCTACTGTCGCTCTGCTCGCACTTACTAAACAGTTCCCATTTCACTCGCACTCATTGTTATAATAGTAGAGGTACCAGATTTTGCCGACGAGACTACCTTATGTTATTGTATCATGGGCAGGCCCCACAGCTGGTAGCGGCAGGCCCTTTGGGTTTTTTTTCGCTCTCATTCTTATTCTCATTTTGACGCTCGCGCGCTCATTACTCGAGTTCGGTCGTGCAGTCGCAGAGACGCGCATTTTGAAGAAGGTTGGCCTGCGCTTGAATTGGGCTTTGTATGTATGCGTGTTCATGCATTCTCATACAGGGGTGCATGTGTGCGTTTATTTCAATTCGATGCGGCAAGAATATTTTGCCACTTTTCATACTTGGTACCCTAACAATATGAGCGTATTCACTATTGGGTTAATGATAAAAATAAGAATATTATATGTTATAGTTTACTTCTTGATTTAAAATAGTAATATACATTTAAGAAAATCTTTTTGAACATTTTTTGGCTGTACTTTATAGTGATTAAACAATTTGTTATTTTCCGAGATTAAAATTATACAATTAAAAATTTAAAAATTATTTAAATAAACATTTAAGATTTGTATATTGGTTCCATTTACCTTTTACAAAAATAAAAAGTATTTTTAAATTGTAAAAAAGTTTAAAAACTACTATTTAACACGGGTGTACATATATGTATATATGTATTTTTAAAACAAACATACATAAAAATACAAAGTAGATCATTAAATAACAACATTGAACAAAATTACACTGCGAACCTTAAAAAATAAATCAACCAAAGTTCATTAAACATAACATTCAAGTGTCCTAAAAAATGTAAACAAAACAAAAGCCAAACAGCCGTTCTTGTTTCTGTCCCCACCCCTAAAATTCAATCTTCGGTAGGGTATGCAGGCACCATCCGCTCGCAGAACAACAACTAGGGTTGTCGAAAATTTTAAAAATATCGTATCGGTAATATTTTTTTTATCAAAAAAAAAAAACGAAAATTGACCGCCCACAATAAAAAGACAATAAGTTTCTTTTTAACAACAATAGTATTTTATTATACATATTTTATGACCAGTATGCTGGGTTTAGGGATTTTAATAAAACCCTTTGCGTTATGTGTGCGTCAGTCATCCTGCTTCTTGAGCCGCACACAACACATTTCATGGCGGCCGCCGTTTTTTATATCCGTATAGTTCGATTTTACACTCAATTTTTTATTTCGCGCCTGAATTCTTTCAGTCGATGTCGCTTTGGAATTCAGACTGACCAAAGACAAAAATATGAAAAACAAGAAAGGAAAGCTAACTTCGGGCGGAGCCGAAGTTGATATACCCTTGCAGAATACTCTGTAAATTATATTCTCCACAATTATTCATATGATGCATTCTTCAAACTCATAAAAAATCCCAACTTCCTAACTTTAAAAACACCAAAGTTATAGCATTTCCAATCGTTCAGTTATATGGCAGCTATAAGATATATGAACTTTGGTAGGTCGGATTGTTTGGCCAAAAATAAAACCCATAGAAAATCCCAACTTCCTAACTTAACAAACACCAAAGTTATGGCATTTCAGATCAATCAGTTATATGGCGGCTATAGGATTTAATCGGCCGATCCTTATGAAATTTGGTAGGTCGGATTGATTGGCCAAATATAAAACCGATAGAAAATCCCAATTTCCTAACTTTACAAACACCAAAGTTATGGCATTTCCGATCAATCAGTTATATGGCAGCTATAAGATATAGTCGGCCGATCCCGGCCGTTCCGACATATATACTGCGTGCAAAGGAAAGAAGGCTGTGTGCAAAGTTTCAACTCGATAGCTTTAAAACTGAGAGACTAGTTTGCGTAGAAACAGACAGACGGACAGACGGACAGACAGACGGACAGACAGACGGACAGACGGACAGACGGACATGGCTATATCAACTCAGGAGGTGATCCTGATCAAGAATATATATACTTTATAGGGTCGGAGATGTCTCCTTCACTGCGTTGCACACTTTTGACCAAAATTATAATACCCTCTGCAAGGGTATAAATATCAAAAAAATATCGGAATTCCGATATTTGGGCAAATTAAAAATCACTATATAAATATATCATTTTTAGGAAAAAATATAGATATATTAATATTTTGATATATTATCAACAACCCTAACAACAACCAAAGCTGATTTGGTTTGAAGTTTTCTAATCACTAAGCTCAGACACCGACTGCGTTGTGCCCTGTTCCTATCTCATTAGATTGATTTATATTATTTGGAATACATACATATATGCAAAACATTTTTCTGCTACCACTGATTTGAATTTGAAAACCAAAATGAAATATATGCGGAAATATTAAAAAATATACTATAACATATAATATTCTTATTTTTATCATTAACCCAATAGTGAATTCGCTCATATTGTTAGGGTACCAAGTCTGAAAAGTAGCAAAAGAGAAAATATTCTTGCAGCATCGAAATGAAATGAAATCGCACACATGCACCCCTGTATGAGAATGCATGAACACGCTTACATACAAAGACCAATTCAAGCGCAGGGCAACCTTTTTCGAAAAAGCGCGTCTCTGCGACTGAACGACCGAACTCGAGTAATGAGCGCGCGAGCGTCAAAATAAGTAATAACAAGAGAGAACGTTATAGTCGGGTGCCCCGACTATCAGATACCCGTTACTCAGGTAAAGGGAGTGCGAGGGAGATGGAGATAGAAACTTTGATCACGCATAACTTTTTAACGAATGGTCCGATTTGAAACATTTCTTCTACATTTCGATAGGTATTGATAAACACAATAAAACTGCATTTTTACTTTTCCGAAATATTTAAATTTTTAAAATCGTATATCAGCGATTGTGGGCGTTAAAGGGGGCGTGGCACCTTTTTGAAACAAACTTGCGCTGCGTAGGAACTCCTAGAATCTGCATGCAAAATGCCAATCTTCTAGCTTTTATAGTTTCCGAGATCTCAGCGTTCATACGGACGGACAGACAGACGGACATGGCTATATCGACTCGGCTAGTGACCCTGATCAAGAATATATATACTTTATAGGGTCGGAAACGCTTCCTTCTAGCTGTTACATACTTTTGCACGAATACAATATACCCTTTTACTCTACGAGTAACGGGTATAATACCAGCTGTGGGGCCGGCCGCATTGAAACCTTTGTGACCATTTTCGTTGTATGAAATGACCAGTCTATATGTTGTTTGGTTAGTGACAGTACCAAAAATCGTTCTACGGTTGGCTATGGAGGGTAAATTTATCAACAGAAGAGTCTACTAGAATAAGAAGGTAAGTTAAAATTTGCATCCCAGCTTAGGCGCCGTAACGCGAAAAAAAAGAAAGTTTTTTTTGACT